CAAGAGCAATGCGTTCACGTGACCTGAAGTTAACACAAAATTAATCTTTAAACGAATGTATTGTTATCCCTCCGTTACACGTGCTGTGTTTGTGACGCGAGTACACGCCCGCAAACAGAGTCCGCAAACTTAAACCACTGTCTTCTGCTAAATTTAAAAGCTGTTTTATAGTATTTTTCTTTAATATCAAACAGACTTTATGTTGCAATAATATCAATCAATTGTTGGGAATATTTTTTTTAAATTTTCAATAGATTAATATATATTTAATGAATTGTTTTTGATTTGTCGTAGCACAGTTCTCTGCAAGCAAATTGATATTGAAAAAAATTACAAAATGGGAAACTATATATGGTACAAATATTATAAATAATAATTACAGTTACTAAAAAATTAATATTTGTAAAAAATATTCAAAATAAAAAATGCTGTCGAAAAGCTAATAATGATGAGCGCTTATGATCTAAATCGTTTGTTGAAAATTTCATCTCAATACCTTGAACTGTTTAGATTACAAACTATTTGATAATTATTTGAGAAATATATATGCCACAATATTGGAGTTGATATGCAAATTACTTGGGATTTTATACATTTTTTATTATATAAAAAATTATTCATGAACTACTATGATACATTAATGAAATATTAGATAAATGCATGAATATTTTGTTTAAATAGTAAATACAATGCTTCAATACTAACACATACAAAAAAGTAAGATTAGAACTGGCTTGGTTTGACAACTTTCGGCTTCTTTGTAGTATAATAGCTAGAAGACACCAATCTAGTATTCACATGTGTTTTTCGCGATTTAAAAAACTAAAGATTGGTGGCGCAACTCTAGATGGGAGCGCAATTTAGCGCGTTGACATACATAGAGAAGCAGAGTCAAGTGTTTGGGTATGATAACATTTTTGTGTGAGCCAGTGTAATGCACTTCGTTCATAAAGCCGCTTAATTAAAAAATAATAATTATTTTGAAAAATATGAGTTTGTTTATTTAGAGAATTTATAATTAGAGATAATATAAATATACAGAGCATGTATTGTCCTAGGGCATATACCATTACAATACGTACTTATACAAAAAAGTAAAATTAGTCCATACGACCTTTAAAAGAATGTGCATGGAGTTAGTATGTTAATAAGGTCTAGTTTGTATTGCATGTACATGCAGGTATGAAACTTTGAAAGTTGAAACAAATAAAATCCTAATTTTTTCAACCATATTTAGGAATGCACTTTAATATTCACACGCCCCTTAATCACCCGTAATCACCAGTGTATTTTTGTTATTTAATGTTAAATTACACATCGCTAATATTTACATAAAATTTAAAACATTGTACAAGAACTCTTTATTAATTTAACTATAATATGTAGTTACATTATTATTTTCGAAATAGTGACCCATAGCCCATTTATTCTCGTCTTTATTTTACTTCATATGTTTTTTCTAGTAGAAATGTACCTACAATCACTTCTCATAAATTGAAGTTTGTGTTAATTCAAGCAGACGCAAAATACTACCTAACACGTTCTTTCCCAAGAAAAATCAAACGTATGCGCTATTTGTGAGCTCTGGATGGTTTATAGGTCACAGATAACACCTATTCCATTTTTCAAAACCCCCACCGATTTTTTACGTCTATTAAAAGCTGGAAAGCGTAATTCAAATAAAAAAGGCACATAATAAACCGATTGGGTAGGATTCAACGTGACATTCCATTCTCAGCAGACTTAAACAAGTCAACAGTGACATCTCGTTTTATTAAAACAAGATAGAACACATTTACGCAAGGAACATCTAAAGCCCTGAGTTTAGCTTGCACTTTCATTTTAATTTAAAAATGGGGGGGGGGTTAAAAGTCAGACACAAATAGTAATGAGAAAGAGACTGAGAAGAATTCTGCAGTTTATATTAGTTACCGTTTAGGCGATTAATTTCTTTTAATTAAAAGAAATTGATCGCCTAAGGCGAGTGTCAGAGCATGTCAATTAAAATCGCCGACAAGTTTAAAACTCGCTGAGCTTCACGTTACTGTGATTATTTCACAGATAATATAGTGCAATAACGTCACATAATTTGTAATAGAAAAAAGTACTTTAAGTTTAACATTCTACGAAACGTTCTTCAAAAATCTCGTGAAATGTCACAACTGTGAAGTTACGAAGTTCTAAAACTGTACAAAAGACCTGCCGCGATTTATGAATTTGTGTTGTCGTTTCGGGCATTACAGTGTAAAATAACAAGAATGCATTACAAATGAGCGAGTTTCTCTTGCCAGAGAAATCTCGTCACCAACAAAATAATTAAAAACAAACTTAACACGATATTAATCCAGCGAAAATAAAATCGTATGTTACCGAACACGCGACTGAAAATGAATTATTGTACCTATAAAACAATTACTTCATCTGTAAAATACTGAATCAAAACATCGAGTCCATCTTGTCAATGGTTATTTGCTCACATATATTTATCCCCTTATCATTAAGTCTGTACTATTTTTTCAACAGTACAATTTTAAAACTATGAACTCAAACATATCACAGATTAATTTTAAATATGTGGCCTATGCCATCGCTAATGTTGCTGCTAATATTCTCCCTCATGTTCCCGGTAAAGTTGGTCAATCTGTGCATAGTACATTGCTTGCGTAGTTCTTCAATGTCATCGCACCCTACATGTCACCCATTCCTTCAAGGGGCGAAGCGAAATCGTCAGGAACATCGCTTTGGTCTCCGAAACTGCCAACGCGAGCGCAGGACCATCAAACGTACGACGTTTGAGGGAACAAATAAAACGCCCTGCAGTACTCGACTGCGTAGTCTAATCGGCAGTTACCTGTTTTCAGCGTTGTTGCGCAGCGTCAGTTCAACCGTACCTTCCGAGGATTTACCAACCATCAGCAACAACTTCAGTGAAAGCGACGTGTCAACGGATCGTGTTCAACAGATTACATGTTACTTGTACTTTGTTAAGTGGGCACGCGCAGCATTTGCAAAAATTCTTTCAATCAGACCGCAGGTAGACGTGGGGGCGTATCTACGGTATGGAAGACATGACACGTGCCATGAACGCCATTCACAGGGGGAACTATTTACCCGTTAAAACCAATTATCTCCCTAATTCAGGCGCGGATCCACGGGGAGAAAAATGAGGAAAATTTCCCTCCCCTACAATTTTTCTGTAATTATTTATTTTAACTTGTCACAAAACTTTCAAGCAAAAATATTTCTCCTGACGGGGTCGCAAATTCTATTCTTGCCATGGGCACCTAAACACCTAGAAACGCCTCTGAGGCGACGCCCTCAAAGTATTGTTTGCAATATTATTATAATATCAAGACACCTCTGAGGCATTGGAATTTACAGCGGCGTGTGGCTTCAGAGCTCGATTATTTGTAGGAAGGTAGTGGGAGACGCTCGGCGAGCACAACTGTTGTCAGGAGACCTTGAACCGCAACTGCTCTGCGTTGGCCGCTAGTGATGCCGCGCCTTGACTGACAGGAGAACGCCGGAATGGAGAGTATTACTTTTCGCGCAAGCTGTAAAATCTTTCCTTAATCTTTTCAACAGCGTCTGTGTTTTGGCAATGAACCACCCAATGCTTTCTGTAAAGTCGAGAACACGGTTAAAAAATCTTAGTATTATAGTATATTTCTCACAAGAAAATGAAACTTTAAAGAGAATTTTGAGAAAAAATGAGCAAGAATATTTTACTTCCACCGCCAAAATTCTACAAAACCCACTAAATAATGGATTTCCCTACGTCTATATTTAGTACTTTAGTACTGTTTTACTTAACCATACTCTTTTCGAACTCTTCAATTATGTTATACTTCTCTATGAAGAATTCCGTTTCAAACTTCAAATTAAAAAATTGCTTTAGTTAATTTAAAAAATGTGTATGGTATATGTATCCGTTGTAAATTATGCTCTGGACAGACTCAGGGATGTTTAATGTTACTCACATAGTTCGAAACCTATTCGTGAATTTTATTCCTAAATATGTCTAAGTACTTTTAGAGATTTCAATACGACGCCATTGTGTTCGCAGATCCGTGCAGTCGTTCCAATGTTCTCGTCGAAGTGTCTTAATTGCATGTTGGGTTCGATAAGGGATATGATCCCTTGCCTCCAGATTAGTTTGATGCACTACATTAGGTCGTTAAATATTAAATTAATTCGTCACAAGTTCAGGAGAGGGGCTACTCATTGTCGTGTAATTTATCAACTCCAAATTACAATGTTTAAAACAAGCATTAACTTATTTAACCTTTCACTTTTTAAATAACCCTTTATGATTTAGTTACTCGTACTAAAAGATTATCGTTTATTATCATGTTCTTCAGTTCTCATTAAGTTTCATTAAGTTTCATTATAATCCGATTGAAAATGAAGAGTGTTGCGTACTTCACACACAATGCTCCCTCTCATATTTTCAGCAGACAAACACAAAAATATTATCGAATAATGCAGAGTACATTAGTAGTTTTGGTTAGTACAACAAAATGTAAAATACTTTTGCGCAATATAAATACTCAGGAAGTTTTATCAGGAGAGCAGTTGAGAATGTTGAGTAAATCCATTTATATGGAGAAGAGACACACAAAAATGTTATTACTACGTGTTCCCATTAATGTAAATGAAGAAAGTCATTGCTTTGTAACTAAGATGCAACCTAGTGAATTTATCTACTCAATGAAATAAAAACCTAGATTATATCTAGATTGCATAAGCTGAATTTCTTCAGATGATGGGAATCATGCCTTATCACTTGCGCAAGATCTGCCCGCTATTTGAGAAATAACGCTAATTTTGATTTTTCTGTTTTGAAACAGTACGTCGCAGATCAACACTTTACATTTTTAATGAAAAAGCATTGAAGTTTATAATCGGCTTTCTACCTTAACCAACATGTTTTTAATGAATATAATACGATTTACAGGTTAAATAGAAGAGAGGAAAAACGTATGCAAGTTCAAACTCACCATGCTCCATCTGCTCCAAGTATTTGTAATCCCACCTCACTCTGATACACTGTTCGATAAAATCCAGTTCGCCGAAATATACGAAGTCGGTACGCGGACAAACAGAACACCAGTCACCGATAGCATCATTCCGAGTCTGTCATGCGACGAAAATATTTCGCAGTAATGCGGAGGGATACGTCAACTGAGCTCTGAAAGGTGTAACTGTGAGAGGAACTATTGCGTGACGCGCAAGCTCTTGTTTCTGACAGTCCAGCTGGTTCAGAACAATATCTCAGAACAAAACCCTCTAAAAAGTGAATTAAAGTAGCACAGAGAAGCGCATTTTCCATCTCATGCAAATTAATATCATTATTTAAACATAATATTATTAATATTATAATATTTATAGTTTTAACTAGCTCCGCAATCCAAATGGATGCTAATTGCTAACTTACAAATAATTGTCACAATTCACTATTGTTTACTTCTTTAGAGAAGAATAGATGTTAATTTTAGATGAAGTGCATAAGGTTTTATTTTTATTTTTTAAATTTTATTTCACTCTCACCACATAACAATTTATAGATGAATATTTACGAAAACGTTCAAATAATGATTTCAAAGATTATAATCGCAACTTGCGTGCCATCATCACAAGGGGCGAACCTAAAGACGCTATGGTTCAAGCACGGCCGACCCTACAGCCGTGTCGGACGCGGTTCGAGCGTACTCGAGATTGGGAGGCATAACCTATAACGCAGCCGAAGTTTAGTTATCGCACTTGTCGTTCAATGCGCGGGGGCGAGATAGATTTAGTACTTATTCGGGACGAGAAATATGTGGCCAATCCGTAGTCTGATTGGTAGTGTAGTAGTCAGGGTATTATTGTCATGTCATATTCGCGGAATCGGGTCTCTAGCGTCACTTCGACATTTTTGTTTTGCCCTAAAAATCGTCGGAAATTATGTGTTGTGTAAACTCATAAACGTTTTATATTCACGCGGAAAATACAGTTCCGAGCTTCATTGTAAACTTGGAAATGCATAGTCAAGTGTCAACTGCTTTTAAACTAACTAGCATAATGTACATTAGTAATACTTAAAGATGTTTTATGTAAACACGAGGGACGAAATCCTCCTCCTCAACTAAACGCTTAGCGAAGCGTCAACATGCCTTCTTAAGTGAATCGCGCTGTGAACCAATAGGGATTGAGTGAAATGCAATGGAGGGTTCTTGCTGCAAACGGCAATGCTAGTGCTATGAACGGCAGGAAAGGGAACTAAAATTCGACTGCAATTTAATCGCATGCGATTGGGAGGTCATGGGTTTGCTCTCGGCAAGGCAACGGAAATTTACTCGATGTGATTAACATCGAATACTAAATGGCGCCTGCCGGAATTGAATTCCTAGTCCAACTTCTTAAAGCAGTGATTTTTGTGGTCATTACAATTTTATCGTTTCATGCGAATTCAGGGGCCGGATCAACAGAAAATATTTTAGATGAGAAATTAGTATACGTGTCATTTCCATTTAAATACCACTGTTTCAGCGTTTTTGATAAGATAATGAGAAAAACAAATGACTTAATGTGCAGTGAATACTGCTTTTTCATGGTAACCCTAAATTTGGGCACCCTAAATTATTTAAACGCAGTTTTGTGTGTCCCTGATACAGAAAAATGACTGTATACAAATGACGGTATATCTGCGTGCATTTTTAAAATATATTATTAAAACTTAGCGTTTTTACTGATTAATAATAGGAATTGATCATGCATCTAGGACATATCACTCTTCATTTAAAGAAGAAACCATAATGGGTGAGTACAAAACTCAAATTTCCTTCTAAATGAAAACGTCTAAAATTATTCTATCCCTTTGTTTCACGGATTTAGTATTGAGAAAGGTCTCTTTAAGAGGCAGTTATAATGAACATTGTTCACAATTTTTTTACACCGACTGAATTGTAAATGGTGTATAAACTTGAAATTCCTCATTTAATTCTCTCTTTAATTAAATTCGCGTTTCCGTAAATATCTCATTTGTAAACATTCTGAAAGTTTGCAGCAGCTGTGAAGTGCTTAATGACCGAAACAATTTTAAAAGTAAACGACTACTTGTAGAAGGCAGACATCAAGCAAAAGAAAACTCTCGAAAATTCAGACGATAAAACAATATAAGCTTCAGTTTTCTCTTTGAAATAATAGGAAGTAAATTATTCTGGTTCGCTGACAGGGACTGTTATCCTGAATGAGGAAGTTTCATGTAAGAAAATAATGCAAATAAAAACGCTAATTATAAAATTAAGATAATTATGCGGTTTTTAAGAATACAGATGTGAAGAGAAAATTTTATTTTTTCTAAAATTAATTTTACAACAATGAAATTCAGAGTTTCTCAACAAGATGGAAATATTGCGTAGTGACCTGCTGAGCCCTCAACGGGCAATAGTTCAATCTTGAAGTAGGTCAAGCAGAAAATTTTTAAACAAATACCGCATGGGAAATGCAAATACTGCATCTTTGACGTAATTTAAATAAATATTGAAAATATTTAATTGTGAAATATTATTTTATTTACTTTTATTTGAAATATTAGTTATTGGTCTACTGATCGGAAGCTACTCCAAAATAATTAATAAATAAACAATTTTCGCCTACAGATGGCGCTGAAAGTGGTTCTCTGGATATTCTACAATATAGCATCGCATTTGTGTGTTCATGGGACTACACTAATTGGACTTAGTAGAAACAAAACGTTACTTTCTTTTCCAGATTTATTTTTTAAATTCAGTGTAGTGATTGTCTTTTCGTATCACGAGAAAAACATTGTTACTGATGTACTCGTATCTGATAGTAATGTGTCTATCTTCTCCCAAGTTTTACCTCTTTTCCAAGGACTTCAAACGCCAGTATATGCACAGCAAAAATATTTTTAAATACTTTCGCTAATCTATTAACCTTTTGTTGAAGAATTTTATATTTTTACAAAGTGTATTCATTTATAGTTAGACACAACTATCTAATTAAATATTCCCGTACATGCCGTGAAAATATTGACTCAAATCTCATACGCCGCGATAAAATAGGGAAACACATTTCTCTCTTCTACGTTTTACAGACACATTTAGTTTTTTGTTTGTTTGTTGTTGTTTTTTTTGCCGCTACTCACCAAAATAAATTCTCGTGCGCCACCTCTAAAGTTTGTATTTCTGGCAGATAATTCAATCGCCTAGCTAGACAAACAGCACCAAATCACCCGGGTACATAAAGACCGGCGCGCGGGTGGGATATCGGCCGAGCCTCGGCTAGCGGATCGGAGCGAACTGGAGAAGAGGGTTAGGGGGGAGGGGAGGAGGGGATGTTGCGGTTAAGGGGAGGGGGAGACGGGTGCACGACGGAGGGGCACGTCCCAGCAGCCTGTTTGTGTACGGAGCGCCGCAGAGAATTTAAAGGGACCGAGGACGGACGGCGCGGCCGAAGTCCACTGACACGAGGCGCTGAGGGCAGGCGAGGAAAGAAAGAGGAGATGAATGAACGTTAATGAAAATTGTGCTTAACTAGTACGACAAAAAAAGCAGTAGAACAGTTCTTCACTGTCGTTGTCAAAACTAAAATAAGAGGAATGCCTAATCTCATTTTAACAAGTTAAAGAGTTTTAGAAAGTTATGTAGCCAATAATAAATTAACGGCAATCAAAATGTCTTTTGCTGACACAGTGTCTGATTTGACTCAGATGAATGGCCAGAGAAAAAGAGACGGAGAGGGCAGTGTGCAAATCTTTAAACTGGTCACACAAACTGCACAGGTTTATTGAAAGTGTTAATAACTATCTGTCAGGTAAATTGGAAGTAAGATAAAATAATTTCTAACGTAAAAAGCATGCCAGAAGTAGTACGTAAAGCTTTGAAATAGGGGTATCGAGGGGGAAAAGAGAGACAGAAAATAAAATAATAATAGAGGTTGTGAATGATAAGAGCTAATATTATTTGCCCACAGATATAAAATTAGATATTGTGCAATTCTTCGTAAGTACGATTTAAAATTGCATTAACCTCAGTACAGTAATTATCAGCAACTGCAAAATCACCTCTGAACTACCTCCATACCTTCTAAACAGATCACGATATCGAAATGCAGTTTTTGCTTAACAATAATGAACCATGAGTCAGGTAATAAGCCGAAGAAATTCGGTTCGTAATATTTTCAATTTTGGAAATTTTCTATCATATCGGACTTTTAAATATAACTTCTGATTAAAGTGTTTTTTTCTGCATTGTATAGATAAAAGCAGGAATACAATGATGGGTTTTTGTTTATCGTTTAAAAGTAATATTGACTACAAATGTGTATTTCTGACACGGAATCCGAAATTAGTATGCGCAGTAGTTGGGACGGAGAATATTTTCTTTCTAGAGCCCGTTCAGAGTTCGCCTTCGGAGCAAGTAGCCTTGCGGCGATGAGACAGGCAGTGGGGAGTGGTAGGGAGAGAATGAGGCAATGAATTATTTACTATTAATCTTCTTCCCACTAATACTCAATACAGACAACAAAATTCAGAATGCACTTGACAGAAAATAACTTTGTTCTAAATGTTAATTTACAAACTTTAATGGCAGAACACATCTGCAGTTGTGACTGCAAAGGTTGCGAAGTTAAGCGCTTCTTAGCGTTACAAGCTTCTCCAATCCATTTTTCAAATCTTCTGGAGTAGTGTGCACTCTTTCCTACAATCCCCCACTGAAAATATTAAAACATTTTTTAAATGTATTAGATCACTTCGCCCCATGAATCGGTTTGGATATTTTTGGTTCAGAAAATGCCTCTCCGGCAAAATGTGTTAAGCAACGTTCGTGCAACAAATTTTGTTTTCTATTTAGTTCTTTTGGTATATTAATTTTCTTAAAAGAAAGATTAACAGAAAAATTTAATATATTTTAATTGCATCTAATCTACATTACAATACATTTTTATACACATATCTCGAGATATTGTGAAATATCTTCAATCATTTATTCAATTCCCTTGTACTAAAAATGTTTTGAAAAGCAGGATTGCTGCTACGGTCATTATAAATCTACCTAAGTTTTAAAATTATTATTATTATTATTATTATTATTATTATTATTATTATTATTATTATTATTATT